AACAACAACAAAAGCCATCAACACATGTTGAACATATGTGGTCTTCCATCTACGCTGCTCCCAGGGCCCAAATGCCATCCTTCCCCAGACCACTTCACACCCCCAGTTCCGTGTTCGTTAGCGCCGGCATAGCCGCCAACCACTCTTGGAGGCCAGCTTGAGGCCATAATGCGACCCGGCTGGTAGCCGGCAAGGCATTTTCGACATACTGTTTTGTCAACCACTTCGCCAACCCTCTGGTAAAACCATCCGTGACAAGGCGCCGCGGCGCTTGGGCCGCGCACCTCCGACGACCTGCTCACTGTTCAGATGCTCGATGATGGTTGACATAAAGCTGAGGGTCTCCCCTCTGTTTCCATGGACCGCAGAAAATACCTGACATATTGACCCATTGAGGCATTGAGGCGTGTCAACAATATCTTTTCCTTTTGGTCTACCATCCTTAGACGTCACCATGTCATATCCATTCTGGCATACCGTACCCTCTCCAGAGGATCCAAGGCCATTCATGAACTTGAGACTCCCACCGAAGCTTTGGCATGTTCAGCATGACCAATCCCAGTCGATCAATCTCACGGAAGGTGGTTTCCAAGCTCGGAATCCCTACCTTGACATTCGTACCTTCCTTGCGTTGAAGACCGAGGCCACCAGACATTTCATCTGGAAAACCCGGGACTGGGATTCCTGTTTCCTGTCGACCTTTGACGATCAAAGCCACGCAGAAAACTGGGCTCGAAAAATGATGCGTCTGAAGAAGGAGCCCATCGTTATTTATGAGTTGGACACCTCCAAGCTACCACCCGGCAGCACAGTCTTGCAGGCCCCGCCGCTGTGTTTATTGCTGGGCATAGATCACCCTTGGATGCAGCACGAATGGCTTTTCCATCAGCAGATTCCAGCTAGCTGCATCGCAAGACGATACTGCCCGTGGAAAAACTATGAGCGCATCTTCCAATCGCCATGTAAGTACAGAACTACCTTCCTACCGCTGTACAGCGGATAGTGCTCGGTGTCATGTCATGTTTCAATGCACAGTGAAAAGCTAACGGACAATCCACATAGCACATCTTATAGGCTTTTCTGAGATTCTCGCTGGTTCTGAATGGCATCCCTTACGCAATAACGGTGTGCTTAGGCCGCGTATTCCGGCAAGGACCAAGAAAGACCAGAACGACCTGGACGACCTAATCGACAGGATGAACGGGCTAGACCTCAGGAGAGGTGCCGGAACATCGACTGGCAATACACCCAGGGCCATTGGATCAGTACATGAGGTCGTAGATATCGAACCGACCCACGATTCGGTCGAAGGCAGTGATTCAGCGCACGAGAGGGATGTCGTTTCTGAACCGATCCCTGACAAACCAAACGACAGTAATCCAGTAAAGGAAGAGGACAGCGACGCCAGACCGACAGACGATGCGCCGAAGACCAATGACGCGGCAACAGACATCAGTCTTACACCGACCCTCGATACATCCAATGTCACAAATTCGGTAGAGGAGGTCGTCACGGACACTCTACTGAGCGGCAAAACCGCCGTTGCTGATGATGCAGTACAACAAGAAGAGGTCGTCGACCTCATCCCGAAGGACGACTTAACCAAGGATGCTCCTACCGCTACCAGTGTCGTGCAAAATGTGATTATGTGGGAGGTCAACAAGGAAGTTCTCAAGGAGGTGCTGGAGGCCAAATCGGGGTTCTCGTTGACGGTGCAACTCGAAGTCCGGGTTGCAGATGAGGTTCAAGGTTGATTTCACGTCATTCATATCGACGTTCTTTCCTTATGCGGGTTACGGTGGACTTGGACAGGC